GCATTGCTCATAACATTACCAAACAGCCAACTATAAACATCCCAATAAACCTCAACTGGAAATCTCTCCACCAAAATTGTAGTATTGCCTCTGAATTTCCATTTAAGATGTGTCACTCTTATCATTTCTTTGCTGTCTATGCTGATCACTAAACATGGATCCTCACCCCCATCAGTGTCAAATTCAATCCGAATATTATGTACTTTTCCCTTGTCACAAAATTGAGCCTTTGAATTGTACAATTTCTTCCCAAACATATGTTCCCTTTTAGCAACAAAAACTGCATTACAAGGAAAGGGGGACACATCTATTTTCTTGTACACTTGGTTCTGCAAGTCCCCAAGAAGTAAAATCAGTTCTTGATTAAACACAACAGCTACATAGAAACTCTCCAAGGGTTCTGGCCCATAACCAAATATTGCAGAGGATAAATCCCAATAAATGTCAATTAAATTAGAGCCCACCTCCAAATTCTTGAACCCTTTTCTCTTGGAAAACAACCAGGGTTTGATTTCAACTATTGTGGAATTTTCAATTCCAACACTAAATCCTTGGCCCATCAAATACTTAGTCCATGTAATGGTAATGAAGCGAGAAATGCTTTGTAATTGACACTGATAAACACACGTAACAAGATTTTGGGCAGCCCTAGTTGCATTTGATGATGAAGAATTAGCAATTTGTACACCATTTTCCCCCAAACAAGATGGAAAATCCCTCATTATACCATGAAAAATTCCTCTACAGTGTAGGTAAATTGACTGAATAAAAGGGAGAAAAAATTGTGGTACCTCAGCAGATTTAAAGATGTACTCTTAAGAAAAGTGTATTCATATGCCCATACAAGAAGTTAAAGTCCATTTTCTGAAAGGTTCAGCTCAAAATGTTGAAAACATCGTGTTCAAGAATGGTGAAATCTTGAGCACCCAAGGAAGAATAAATAGCAACCGAGTATTTTCTCAATAAAGCCCAATTATTACACAGTCGCACTCTCTCTGCGCCTCAGTTTGTCAAGTTTATAAATAGTTTATTAACAAGAAGAGTAAGGGTGATATGTCAAATTGCAATATCATCACCAATAAAAATAATTAAAATGAATATTAAAAATTGCAAGTGTTGGATTTTTTTTCTCATATGTAATTTTCACATTCATTATGTACAATAATTAGCTTTCATCCTTCTCCTGCACTAACATATTTGGATGGGCTTAAAATCAAATAAGCTTTTTACATATAAGAGAAGTAAAGTTATGCATGCTTGTGCTTATAAATACATCAAGCACATTTATATATTAAAAAATTACTTATTTTTAAGCAAAAATAATTTTTTAAATTATCAAAATGCCCTTTATGTTATTTAATATTTTTATGAATACAATAAAGGATAAGAGTAAAATAATATGAGATCAAATAAAAAAGTAAGTCCAAAAATTATGATACCCATTGGTTAAAAAAAGACTATTACCTTTTAAACAAATATGTTTAAGTGGTTTTGGTACTTATAAGCATGTTTTTATTTTCCCTCTTTCGTAACCTAACCATTACAGAAACAGACGCCTTTGAAATTACGAATATTAAGACTTATGCCGGTATATAGTACAAAATTCACTTGCAAAACTTTTAAAGACACAAATTTAACCATTACAGAAACGGACGCATTTGAAATTACGAATATTAAGACTTATACCGATATATAGTACAAAATTCACTTGCGAAACTTTAAAGACACAAATTAAAAAATTATGTTAGGAAATTATAAACAATTAATATTCG